TTTATTAGGCAGTTTTTTACAGACTTCTGTAAGATATTGAACATATGAATGTGTTGTGTAAATACAGTTTGAGTCAATAAAATGAATACTTTTCTGAACAAAGTTTGTCTCTTATTTTTTCTGGTTTCTTGGTATATAGAATTCAGATCAATACAAAACTTCCTCTTAAGCATAAGATTTTGTTAAATTAGGGTAGCAAGATTATGCTCACAAATACCAAAATGAGCAGCCAAATTCAAAGGTGTTAAATCAGATTGTCAGTTTCATATTGGTTTGTTTAACCTAAAGCTATTTTTTGTTTCTCTGCTTAGTTGAACACAGTTGTCTCAGTATAGTCATCTGCTCCTGGCTGTCTGCTGCATGCTAAGGATTTCTTAGCTTAGGGGAATTCAGCTGCTCGAAAATTAACTGATGGTCTCCCTATCCCAGAAGAAGAGAGGGAAGCATGGCTGGGGGATGGGGTGGTGGTGAAGTGGGGAAGGAGAATGAACCAAGCTTCTCTGCTGGATAACAAATACTTTAAGGCTTATGACTGAGAGGGCAGGTTAAGGGAATGACTAGTGATTGATTCCATCTGTATGTTGCAACATACTGGAAAGCAAAAAGTAGGATGGCAAAAGAAAAAGTCTCTGAAAGGTCAGACACAAGCTCTTTGCTTGAGTTATCTGAAGTAAATTCTTCATGGAAATTATTCTTTGGGGATTTTTTTTCTTCATGATGAAGCTGTTGCCATTGCTGTGCCTGGCTTTAAAGTGAAGAGGAACAAGGGAACAGAGCAATTTAGGGCATATGTACTGGGTATTTTTAGTTGTTAAACAACACTTCTGTGTATCTCTGTTGGATTCATTGTTGTAGAATGAATGATAAACAGGAAAGCATCCTCAATAAAACTAAATTTCAGTTCCTTTATTATTGGAGTTATAGTTTAGAATGATTTATTGTTGTAGCAGACTGGTTTTATAAAACTTAAATCTTGCACACATGGTAGAGTAGTGACAGATTTCTGTGTGTTAGCTCCAGTACTGTACCTTACGTGTTTTCTGTATTAATGCCTTGTTTGTTCTATTCCCCCTGCCTCCCCATTTAGCTGAATGCTTCTTGTTTGGCATAGTCAAGCTGTAGCCAGTGCTTATGTTGTGAGGGTCAGAATTCTGCATTTCCTCATTTCTTATTTTAAAACAAACAAACCTCACAACCAACCACCTGAAAAAACAACCCCCCCCCCCCACTCCCCAATCTAACACTTGACAATGGCAGTACTGGACTGTAAAAGAATCATCTCCTCGACAGGAAATGTTTTCTCTCACTCTGTGCTGTCTGGTTTTAAATTTCACTCTTGTTTAGTTGCAGCATGCAGTTAATGAGTGTATGGTAACGTAAAGGAGAGGCAAGTCCCTTTGCCCCTATTTTAGAGCATTGACTTGCTTTGTGTAATCTTACCACAGTAAGTCTTAATATTTTGTGCCAAAAGCGGCAGAATTTGACTGTGATGGGATTTTGGAATCGAAACAAAGATACAGAGGAGGCGGAGGGAGTTCTTTACCCAACCTGCTTCTTTAAAGAAGACTGTTAGTGTCTTCCTACTCACAAATTTAAGAGTTCAGAAGGTTTAACTTGAATTTGTCAAGGAAATCAATGTGGCTGCCACTAAGGCCAGATTAATTTTTGTTGCAAACACATTGAGCAGTGCTGCTTCAACTAGTAGGGGCTTGTTCAGCACAGAGGCAGCCACCGAGTTCCCTGCTCCTCTCAATGCTGGCGGAGCCAGGTTTAGACCCTCCTTCCCATCCTGACCCTATTCCCAGGCGCTGAGGACCTTTTCCTAAGGAAATACAAATGCAAGAGAAGAAATAAAAAGAAGTAATTTCAGGGTGCAGAGAAACAAGAGCCTCCAGCAGCTGGGTTAAGGTAGCTTGCACAGGGACCCTCATGTCTGTAAACTGAGGATCTGCCCCATTCCTTGCTGGCTTTGACCACGGTGACTTTGCAAAGGAGCTGGCCCACCGGGTTAGATTCCTCTGTCAGGGGTGTAGGTTGCTGTTTTGCCCTTCATCCTAGTGCTGGCAGAGGGGTTTGTGTCTAGGCAGGACTGGGAGCTGGACTTCTAGGCCTTCTTAGGTCTGGCTTGTCCTGGCTGCCTGTATTTCTCTGTGGCCAGGTGCAAAGCAGTAAAAAGGAGAGAAAATGAAGGTGTGCTAGGCACAGAAATAAAAGGTGCAAGAGACTAGGTGGAAAAACTAGGGTGGGGGGGAAATGAAAAACACATTAAGTGAGGAACGTGAAAAGAAGAGGAACAAAGCTAGGTGGGACTCAACAGGTAGATTTCCTAATAAAAGAGAAGTTTCCAAGGAAAAAGGAGGAAGCTATTTGAAAGGAAATGCAACTGAAAGGATTGTTTACAAACCTGTTACTAAAACAAGTTTGAGTTTTGTGTCAGAAAAGGAAGATTATTAGAATTGCTTTACTGAAGAGGAACAGGAAAAAATTGTGCTTCCCATGGCTTTCCTACTGTTCATACACAAGCTGGTACTCTTGACGATGTTCCTACTGCAGGTTCCTGGGTTAATTTGGGTGGGTTGGTTCCTCCCTGCCAAGATCAGCTAGATTTCTCTCCTTTTTTTTTTCTGAAGAGGGCATTAGTTTGTCTCCCCCAACTCCACACGTTCTAGAAATTCACATCAAACAGTTGCAAGTGAACACATGTGAAAGAATGGCTGAGTCAAAGTGGGATCAGAGGATGCTGTCAGGTCTGGATTCCACAAGCTGAGTCTATATTCTGCATTTTGAGTCAGTGTATGAAAAACAATAAAGAACAGGCTGGTTCACCAAGTGAGTAACTCGATTCTTTAGGAACTCCAAGATTCTTGGGCATTTTTAAAGTATTAACTTTTTTTTTTTTTTTCCCCCAGAGTAATATCAGAATTTACGGCTGGGACCTAGTTATGAATTCTGCATTACAACAAAACACAGTTCCACAAGCTGTAAGATGGCTGGTTCTGCTTCATTCATAAGCTATGCTGGTGCTATAATTGAAAAGTCTGTGCCAGGTCTGTATGATGGCAGGCTCTCAGCCTGTCACACATCGTCCTCCCTCCTGAAGAGGAGGAGAATGCCATTTACAAAGCATCAACTAAACTTTTAAGTTTCATGGCTTTATTGCCCATGGATTTTACTTTGTATTGCATTAAATATTAATTTCTCTTTAATGCATGTTGTGTTTTAGCTTAATATCATGCTATGATACGCAGCCACAACATATTGAAACATTTACAAAATGCCTAGTTATAGGTGTGCTATTGCAATTCATAAATCCTTTAGGCATCACTAGTCATTGCTTCTTTGCAACGGCCTCTGTGAATTTGCTGACTCCATCATGACCCTTCAAATGTTAATCAGCCAGGCCCTCCTGATCTCTGCCTATACACCTATGCCAAAGCCAGTTTGTTACCATGTTCCTTCCAACTGTCTCAACCCATAAAGTCACTTTATGTGAAAAACTTCTGCTTGATTAAAACTAGTTTAGTTCCATTTCTGTGTAGAATAAAATTAGGCAGACAGCTTCAGCTTATGTGATTAACAGTTGCCTAATTCACTGACTTTATAAAACAGTCTCATTCCCTGAATCCCAAACCAACAAAACATAACATCCTCTTGTTAGGAGCAATGGGTCTCTGGAAATTGCACTACGTAATGTGCCTTTTAGGTACTGAGCAACACTTCTGCTTCTGAAGGCAAGAAGAAAAAGAGCAAAGAGTTCCTGAAATATTTAAAGTTTGGATTTCCAGAGCGTTTCTCCTTTGTTTGCTTGTTTTGTTGCCTAGAAACTGCCCTAAATAAGAGACTCCGTGTAGACAGAGTGTTCTCTGGTAGAGGCTCTCCAACGGAGAAGGGCTGTTTAATTGATATGAGCTGAAACATAAAGCATGCACGAAGAGCGAATGCCCAACAGTCACTTTGTCAAGGCAGCTGGGTAAGGCAGCGACCTTTCTGTTTCAGTGTAAGCAGATAAACTGTTGTTCATCTTTCATTTTGCCAGTTGTTTTGAATAGTGTGGATACTCTTATTTGTTCTTGAGCCTTAACATGTCCAGTGATTTTAACCTATATTGGTAACAAGACATGCATAGCATCTATAGGTGTGGTGAACTTAAAAACCTAGGTGGTGAGATATACTGCCACATAGCCTGTGTCAGTATAGCCCTCCCACCACATTCTGTGGAGTAACGGAATTTCAGCTATAGGGGGTAGGTGGAATGGAGATAGGGAGTAGCCCCAGTAACTGATGACAGCCAGAAAGACAGGGGACCAGCAAGGTATCAGGGTGCCCTTTTAAACCCCCAGGGTCCTTAAGGAACACATCGCAAATGGATAGATTTCACATATATAATCTGCTGTTATTCAGCAGCAAGTGATGAAGTCACATAGCATAAATCCAGCCTCTGGCCTGCAGCTCACTGGAGATATATATATAGCATTGACTGCCCAAAACACTTTTGCTTGAGGATACTAATCTTTTTTATTTTTAGAGGACTGTAGTCAAATATCACTGTTAATAGTTACTGTACAGAATAGCTAAAAACTTTTTCTTCTTTTTATTATGAATAAATTTTGTTCCTGGCAGTTCAGTATTGTACATTCAGTACTGAATGAATACTTCAAACCCACAAGACTTTTTTACTCACAATTGGATTAAAATAGTGCAGCTCTATTTTGTAGATTTTCATGCGTATTTTACATCTTCTCTTGTACAACTTTAAGGAAGACAAACTTTCTTTGGAGAAAAAATAGAAAATATCCCAAACTAGCAATGAATGCGTTCAGACTCCTAGGCCAAAGACATAATGCCTTATGTTTGTCTCATGAATAGAAATGACCTGATTTCCAGAAATGCTGAATTCTCAGTGATCTTAATGGACTCTGAAAAGCGCCTCTAACATCTGAGGCTCATGATCTGGTTTTTTAGGTTTGGGTTTTTTTTGCTTTTTTGGGGAGTTTATTTTAGGCTAAATATGTATTTATATGCCTAATTATTAGAAATCCAGATTTGAGAATTTGGACTGGAAAACAGCGCACCTAATTTACTTATTCATTGATTTCTTCTTCATCATCTTCAAATGCTTCCTCTCCATCATTTGCTGTTGCTTCTTGATATTGCTGATACTCTGAAACCAGATCATTCATGTTGCTTTCTGCTTCTGTAAATTCCATTTCATCCATTCCTTCGCCTGTGAACCAGTGGAGGAAGGCCTTTCTCCTGAACATGGCTGAAAACTGCTCCGAAATCCTTTTGAAGAGCTCTTGAATGGCAGTACTGTTGCCAATGAATGTGGAAGCCATCTTGAGGCCACGAGGAGGTATGTCACACACTGCCACCTTGACATTGTTTGGGATCCACTCCACAAAGTAACTGCTGTTCTTGTTCTGGATGGCCAACATCTGCTCATCAACCTCCTTCATGGACATGGGACCACGGAAGACAGTAGCCACTGTCAAATATCGCCCATGCCTTGGGTCACAGGCTGCCATCATATTTTTGGCATCAAACATCTGCTGGGTGAGCTCTGGAACGGTGAGTGCTCGGTATTGTTGGCTGCCTCGGGCTGTCAGAGGAGCAAAGCCTGGCATGAAAAAGTGAAGGCGTGGGAAAGGGACCATATTTACTGCCAGCTTCCGGAGGTCAGCATTTAGTTGGCCTGGAAAACGCAGGGATGTAGTTACCCCACTCATGGTAGCAGAAACCAAGTGGTTTAAATCACCGTAGGTTGGAGTGGTGAGCTTCAGGGTGCGGAAGCAAATGTCATACAAAGCTTCATTGTCAATGCAATAGGTTTCATCTGTATTTTCAACCAGTTGGTGGACCGAGAGTGTAGCATTATAAGGCTCTACCACTGTATCAGAAACCTTTGGAGAGGGCATGACACTAAAGGTATTCATTATCCTGTCAGGATACTCCTCTCGTATCTTGCTGATGAGTAGGGTTCCCATGCCAGACCCTGTCCCTCCTCCCAGGGAATGAGTGAGCTGAAATCCTTGCAAGCAATCGCAGTGTTCACACTCTTTTCTTACTACATCAAGTACGGAATCAACCAACTCTGCCCCTTCTGTATAGTGTCCTTTAGCCCAGTTGTTTCCTGCACCAGTTTGTCCTAAAATAACATAACAATAAGGAAAGAAAATATACAAAAATATTGGTAAGGTTTGGTTTTTGCATGCCAAATGGGTTCACATCTGCAACAAAAGCTGGTATAAATTTGTCAGGTAGATAACTCTTCAGTTTCACCTACAAATATCTTTGGAAGTATCAACACAGATTTTGTACACAGTCTCCTTTTGCCTCAAATCCCTGGTAGTTTTCATTTATACCTTTGGGTGGGTTTTTTTTTTCTTTGTTGATATTTAATCTTCCATAAATGCAAAGATGGCCTTGCCTCCTTGTTTTGAAAGCTTTCACACTCCCAATCCTGCTTATTCCATAAACACAGGACAACTGTTTAACATTTAAATACTTTCTAAGGACCATGACGTATACAAAGCTAAATCAGAGACACACATTTCTAAATGAAAGGTTCTTGGACTGCTCCCGTGAGACACGGAGGCATTGTTGTCATTCAAAGGATAAGGCTGGGCTTCAGAAGTCTTGTTATATCAAGAACTATAGCGTTTTTAATGTTTTAATTCATGGTCACCTAGCCTGAATGAAAACACTGATTGACAGAAGCTTCAAGAATGTTATTCCAAAAACTTGGCAGTTATTAAGCCTTTTAGCTTTTACTGGTTT